AAACCTGAATCTGGAAAGCAAGGCTACCATCCTGCGCCAGGTAAAAAGGAAGCCAAATTTCATAAAGTTCAACCACTGCTTAACCAATCAACTCACCCTAAATGCTGAAGGTAATAGCATTAATTGTATAACTATCCCTATTTACTGAAAAGACGGGAATTTCATCTTACAGTATTTCAAATCATTTTCAAAAATGCGAGTATTCCTTATCTTGGTTAGTAATGCATTATGTGAGCGCAATCACATCACTTTGCTTTAATAAATAACCATCGCTTTTTTCATCATTAACTGAGGCAGCGACAACAGCAGCCATACTAAACGAATGATACCAAAAACGCAAAAACTGATAAGAAAACCCGTAACAATATACTAAATAGTTTATATTAATGTTTAATTTGCTGCTATAATATAGTATAATGCTATACAATACAATGGCATAGTATAATATAAAATATTCTATACTGTGCTATGCTATACTATATTTTATTATACTATACTATACTAAACTATGCTATACTAGCTCTCTTCTGTGAACTAACTTCATTTCGTTTTAAGATTTGCAATCAAATACATATTTTGCTGACCTCAAATGAGATCTAGTTGAGATGTCATTTGTTCAATTGTGAATTCGCCATCCACTTTATCGGTCATCTGTTTGGATAGATTTTGTTTACGCGAGTCACAAATGCCATCAACACAGAGCAGCATCTCACACACCAAAAAGCAGTAACTTACGTGGTCTTGCTGATGGAGCATATGCTGATGGTCATATCGAGTGATCATGCATTCGTGCTTGTTATTAATCCCTATTTATTTGAGTTATCCCTTCCTTACAGTTGAACTGTGTGTTGTACTAAATTCCGCTACAGACCCACCAAGGAGTAAAGGCTTTGCTAAGTTCTTGCGGTCTGCATTTTTTACTTTCCAGTGTGACGTCTTTAACAATCAATGTAAACGGGTTCTCATAAATTCTAAGGTATGAAGACCAAGATGTTGTGGATTATTGTGTGGTCACAGACTCCTTTTGATGAAAAGGGTTTGTTTGACCTTTTTTCGCAACATGGTCATATTGATAGGAAGACTTAAAGGAACGCACTTAGTCCGAAGTCCATTGTATGCATGATCATTTCCAAAGTTGAACCGTGGACGTGGTACATTCCCAAACGTTTCGCCAAATCGTAGTCGGCATCGTCAGTGAGTATCGCCATCCTAAACACCATACAGCTACTCGTCAAAGAGACAAGTGAAGCCGATCCTTTGACCAAACGTATGTTATCGCCATCCTAAGCACCATACAGCTACTCGTCAAAGAGACAAGTGAAGCCGATCCTTTGACCAAACGTGTGCTAAACTATTGTGGTATCTCCCTTTCTGCCCTGGGTTATTCGCGTTTCCGGTATCATCCTATCATGCCTTCACTATTACAATTTTTACCATGTTTATTT